CTCAGTACAAAGAGTAAGTCCTGAATTTTTCTAAGAATGCTGACTCGGGTTCTCACCAAATAAAAGAAACCTGTTTCTCTGGTTAATATATTCCCAGTGAGAGCCAGGGCATGCCTATAATCCCAACACTTGAGAGGTTGAATCAGGAGGATTGTTAAATTCTAGGCCATAGAGCAAGTTCCAGGCAAGCCTGGGCTACATATCGGGCTGTCTCCAACACATAGACAGACAGACAGATCATCAGATATATATAGAGAAATATATTACAGACACACACACACACACACACACACACACATTCTTTATGTGTGTACCTGTATAAGCGTGTTCCTGTATGTGAGTGCACTTGTGACTCTGTGTATACAGACCAGAGGTCAACCTCGGGTATCTATCCTCAGGAGCCATCCACTTTGTTTTTAAAAGACAGTCTCTCACTGGCGGGGAGCTCACCAAGTAGGTTCTAGGTTCGTCAGGCTGTCCAGTGAGCCCCAGGAAGCCACCTTCCCCGCACTGGGATTATAAGCACATGCCACCATGCCGGTTTTCATTAAGTGGGTTCTGGGGACCAAATTCAGATCCTCCTGTTTGCAAGGTCAGCACTTTACTGAACAAGCTCTCTCCCCAGCCCTATTTTTTTTATTTCTTGAAAGACTCAAGTCCACATTTCCAGCTTCCTTCTTTCCACCCAGAGGCTGACCCAGTCTGGGTGTACAACATGGCCTTATCTACAGGAAATTGCACTAAACAGGCCTGGACGAATCTATTCATCGTGATATATCAACATATTGTTCTGCTTGTTTTTATCCTGACTAAAACCCAAGAAGTCCGGTCATGGAATTTCTAGTGGGCTTTGTGTGTCCCTTGGTGCTGCTGCAGGTTCTACTGTGGGGAAGTCTGCAGTTCTTTGGCTACTTGTCTATCTGTATTTTCAACAGGCACATACTCTCTTTGCTCCTGGGAGGAGTCCCTTTATCGTGTGCTTATTTCAAAAACAGGACTTAGGTGTGAGTGTTTGTTTGTTTGTTTGTTTGTTTGCTCGTTTGAGACAGGGCCTCCCTGTAGCCCTAGCTGGCCTGGAATCTCTGTGTAAACCAGGCTGGCCTAGGTGTTGAGTTACTGAGTCCAAGGGATATAGACATATGTACAGTATGTGATGAAAGTATAAAAAAATGCATGGCTGAATCATCACCAACTTCAGAAAGTGGTTAAATAAGTTAGAGGAGGAGGAACCAGCAAGTGAGGAAAGTTACATATAGGAAGAATTACATTGGTAATTTTCATTCTGTCTGCTCAGGTAAGAGCTACAGAGTGCCTCTCTCTCTTGCTCTTGCTCTCGCTCTTGCTCTCGCTCTCTCCAGCTAGTCTTCCACTCTCTCTCGCTCTCGCTCTTGCTCTCTCCAGCTAGAGTCTTCCTCTCTCTC